TTTTAAATTTTTTGTATTTTTTTTTTTTTTTTTTTCATTGTGGAAGGTAACGTTGTCATGATCGTTCTGGGAATCTTCGATTCAGTGCAGATAATACCCAGGTGCTTCCTGAGAAATTTTTACCTAATTTTTGTTCTTTGAAGATTTTCAAAGTTTTCAATGCTTTTTTTTTGGCTGTACTTTGTACAGCTATTGATACCTGGGCAATGGGTGGGTTCATTGATGGATTTCACTGGACATCTAGTTCCTTTCTTTTTTTTCTTCTTCAAGAGAGCCAGAGACTCGTACCTAGCTGCTACCTTGCTAGCTTCCACAAAGAATCCAACCTAACCTGAAAGAGCCGAAGCGAGAATCAGCTGTTGATTCTCGTTCCTGGAAACGTCTACCTGACCTGATCAGCTTTGTCAGAGGGACATTTAAAAACTGCCACGCCCTCCACAGAGAATCCAATGAACCATCCTTAGGTCCTACCTGATGCCGAAACCTCAGGAAGATCCTTCCGTAGCTACAATTTTGTAATTTTTGAAAAACCTCGTATAATTTTTTTTATTCGAACAAATATTCCAAAATCACAATTAGATGCGTATCGATAGTTTCAAATTCGGTAAACACAGTGTATTTTGTTCGTGGTACAGGAATTTCATAATTTGACGAAACATCAAATTTTTTTTTAAATAATTAACTTTTGCGAAACTCTTATTGCGCCGTCCAAATCTAGGGTTTACTAGGGAAGTTTCATATGCGAAGGTCATGCACGTTATTCACCCTCTTTTGAATAGACCGGTACTGGTTCCTCTTGTTGTCACCTGGCCCGGTAACGTAAACGCACGCAGGCTGTATTACCAGTCGCGTATTTCCTTTCTCACGTATAACGGGTGTTTCACAAATAACTCACAACCTTTTCATACACCATACCAGTTCGAGTCTGATATTTGCACTGCTTCATTTTGTTATCCAGCGGTCACTGAACAACAAATTACGTCCCAACATTCGTCTGACGTCCAAAACTTTCCGTACACCCGGTATATAGCCTGTTCCACATTAAGTCGTATCGTTCCTCGGCAACGAATAAAAAGACGTCTGTTTATTTTGAACTGGTGACATAAAGTCAATAATCCAAATTGACATTTTTTTATCGATAAGATATTTTTTATTCTAATCAATATTTGGGCGCAACCGCATGTATCGTTGACACGAGATATGCTCGGCACGTATTCCGTCTACCCTGTAGAATATTTTTGCAATTCGATTTTCGGACTTGGTCTAAAATATTATTTTCAGCGTATACCAGCTAACCATAATTTTTTTTTTCTCTAAAAAATTTAACCTTTTAATTTTCTCACGTTGGTACCGCCAAACCTAAGTGTTTCGAAGCAAGTCAAGTCACGGTAATCTCCATATACCACGTATATCCCCAAGAAAAGTAGGTCACATACGTGACGAAATAGAAATTGAACGTTTAGTATAGGAATCACTTAGTACTAATATAGATCCCTTATATGTATATACATATATGTGTGTTTGTATGTACGATAAATACACGCGCCACATATAATAGGGAGAGCAACTATAGAGTCTGTTCGCAATAACTTCATCGCTCGATGACGTTTGAAAATTTGAAATTGGGTTCTTGGTTGACGTTTAAAAAAAAAATTCATCATACTCACAAATTTCAGATCCACAAACCCACAAACGGGTATCGCTAATAATTCTTCCATTTGAAAATCGTACCGGTCGAGTATTTCCCAATTCTGTGAAAAACTGAACCAAACGTGTCTGATCTGATGGACATCCGACGAATTTCAATAGCCTCGCGGGGGGTCCGGGAAGTTAGCCCCCCATAATTCGAAAATTCCGACTTCGTTGTTTGTTCTGAGTTGTTCTACGTTTGTTCTATATTGTTCTAGAAAAACAAGTTTCTCAATTGAAATTTGTAGCGGTGATGCGCAAAAACAGTTTCTTACCGGAACCCCCCATTTACGGAAAATCAAAGTTTTTTTAGTTGCTCCAGCTTGTTCTAGATTGTTCCAGGTTGTTCTTGGCTTTTTTTGGTTGTTCCAGGTTGATCAGGTAGGACAGACACGTAAAACCAGGGAAACACTGCAAAAGCTGAGGAGGACGAACGCTCTTAGAATAGTATGTGGATGTATGACCATTTCGAATGATTTTCACGTTATTCCAGGTTGTTCTAGGTTTTCCTAGGTTGTTTTAGGTTTTTCTAGATTTTCCTAGGTTCTGGGTCTATCGATGATTGTTCTAGATTTGTATAGCGATCAGGTAATAGCAACTAACTTAGAACAATGTAGAACAAGATTCGAAATCGGAACTATACAATGTAGAACGATTTTATATGTAAAAAACGTTTTTTTGATCCCATTCGAGTATTCTTCACTTAGCGGTACTAATATTTTGGAACAATATTTAGAACAACTAGAACAACTTGGAACAACTAAAAAGCGTTTGATTTTCCATAAATGGGGGGTTCCGGTAAAAAACTGTGTTTCCCGCCTCACCGCTACAAATTTCAATTAAGAAGCTAGTTTTTCTGGAACATTATAGAACAAACTTAGAATAACCCAGAACAAACAACGGAACCAGAATTTTCGAGTTATGGGGGGCTAACTCCCTCGCGGGTCCTCGAAGAAAAATTTTATATTCTCTCCGTGTCGGTCGGACGAAACTTTTTTCAAATTTACCAACCGATCGCGTTAAACAGTTCAATACTTACGCTGCGTCGGGATCGATTATTCAGGCGACACCTCGTACCGATGAAATTTTTTTTTTTTCGTGACTTTGTAACGATCTACCCGTAGGTAGACGTCTAATAGCTGGAAAATCGTAGCTTTGAATTTAGGCGCCGTTTACTAACCGCTGCAACAGACGCGTCATACCGTCACGAATGCGCGGACAACGCGGCGCATACGTAATTGATGCCGTCACTAATCGTCATGCACGAGGGAGCCAATGCGCGTGGGTCGCGCACGAAACTGCTGTCTAATAGGTCAAGTCGCTATGGCTATTACGAGATCATTAGGAGGGAACGTCGACATGTGAAAGTTTTTAGGCGCGCAGTTTGGATGGTATTTATTTTGTGCGTAGACATTTAAAAAAAAATTATTTTTTTTGAAAAATATAATTTGGAATTGTTTTACAATTTATTATTGGTGACGGTTGATGATTTTTTTGTTTTTTGGTATTGCTCCTGTTCGCTGTACTTTTTCGTTGTATGAACATTCAGTGAACATGCTCAGGGTGGTCTGTCTTTAGCTCCATGTAAACTGTCATGCTCGGGAACAACACCTGTCAAGCATCGAACTGTCAATTGTCATTCGCCACGTGTTACTTTGTCATCGTAAGTCATCAGTGTGCCTACACAGTATTTATTAGCCTTGCGACCTGAATTAATGAACCCTCCTATACTCGCGCATGCGCACAACGATTATGGTTATCCTGCTGTCGTATGAATTTTCATGAACAGTTCTTTCCTTGTTTTGTTTTGTCTTCATAAATCTTCATTAATATCGTGCACAATTGTATTGTGTTTCTCTGCAATTCTAATAGGATTTAATATACGAATATATTTTGTGTAATTGTGTGTTACCTGTAATTACTGTTCACGGCAATTCCAATTTGAACGAATTTTATTGTACAAAAAATATTGAACAAATATATTTTTGTTCGATATTGTATATATCGTATATATCTTATCACGTTTATTAACCATAAATGCTGTTCACGGCAATTCCAATTTAACGAACTAGACTGTTCGGGTTTTATCCAGTACACAATCGACTGTTCGCAACTGGCGATTACTTGGTTATGCTATTATCTGCATTCACCAATTGTTGACTCGTCATTGAACATTCGTGATCATATAATACATTTAAAGTTGTAGGGACTTTGGATTTTTTTTTGTACTTCTAAACCATTATGGATTTCATGGACGAGACTTGGGTATGACTTTCACGAAAAATTGACAAACTAAAATCCTTAAGGCTCACCTCGCCTGCACAATCGTTCGACCCTGAACAGTCTCTTGCGCAAAACAGACATTGGTCCCTTTCGCGCTAGGGATTTTCATTATAATTTTCATACCTACCAGACAAGTGCAAGAAATTAGCCCCCCATAATTCAAAAATTCCGGTTCTGCTTGTTGTTCTGTCTTGTTCTAAGTTTGTTTTATAATGTTCCAGAAAAACAAGTGTCTCAACTGAACTTTGTAGCGATGAGGCGAAAAAAAAAACACTTTTTTACTGGAACATTTACTTATGGAAAATCAAACCTTTTTTGTTGTTCCAAATTGTTCTAGTTGTTCTAAATATTGTTCCAGATTATTAATACCGCTAAGTAAAGAATACTGAAATGGGATCAAAAAAACGTTTTATGCATAGCAAGTAGATATAGGACCATTTCGAATGATTTCCAGGTTATTCCAGGATATTAGAGCTTGATCTAGGTTTTTCTAGGTTGCTCCAAGTTGTTCTCGATCTATCGATGATTGTTCTAGAATTGTATAACGATCGGGTATTCGCAAGTCGGTTAAAAGTAGAAAGTAACGATTTTATATGCATAAAACGTTTTTTTTTTTTGATCCCATTCGAGTACTCTTTACTTAGCGGTATTAATATTCTGAAACAATATTTAGAACAACTAGAACAAGCTTGAACAACAAAAAAAGTTTGATTTTCCATAAGTGGGGGGTTCCCGTAAAAAGTGTTTTTTTTTCGTCTCACCGCTA